TTATCCGCGACACATTAAAGGCCGGTCTGTGAAAATAATGTCGGGCATAAACCGGTCCGTGGCGCAAAAAAGGTTGGGGACCGTTGTGCTAAAGCACATTTGGACAAGCCAGCTTCATTTTGGAATAAGGTGCTGTGGACTGATGAAACTAAAACGGAGTTATTTGGACATAACAAGGTATGCATGGTGGAAACAGAACACAGCATTTCAAGAGAAACACTTGCTACCCACAGTAAAATGTGGTGGTGGTTCCATCATGCTGTGGGGCTGTGAGGCCAGGGCAGGGACTGGAAATCTTGTTAAAGTTGAGGGTCGCATGGATTCCAGTCAATATCAGCAGATTCTTGAGAACAATGTTCAAGAATCAGTCACAAAGTTGCGCTGGGGCTGGATATTTCAACAAGACAACGACCCGAAACACTGCTCAAAGTCTACTAAGGCGTTCAGCAGAGGATCAAGGAAAATGTACTGGAATGGCAATCACGTGTCAGTCCCCAGAAATAAATAATATTGAAAATCTATGGTGTGACTTAAAGCGGGCTGTCCATGCTCAGAAACCATCAAACCTGACTGAACTGGAGATGTTTTGTAAGGAAGAATGGTCCAAAATACGTTCAACCAGAATCTAGACTCTCATTGGAACCTACAGGAAGTGTTTAGAGCCTGTTATTTCTGCAAAAGGAGGATCTACTCAATAGGGCTGGGCCATATTATACCGCTGAATGCATGATAGAATATTGGTAAAACGCTCATGCGCAGTGCCTTTGTTTTCATACGCAGATGGCCGATTGTTGAGTGAAACGAATGAACCAGAACTGGTTTGTAAAAATGCTGCAACTTCAGTGATGTGGAACTGGTTTTTCGTGTTTGTCCATCAGATACACAACAAAGCACATTTTTTTTGTAGAACATGCAAGCGGGCCGTCGTTATTACCGTATTTGTTGGACTAAGGTGCTCGTAAATCTGGTCCTAAACTCCCTCTGCTTCAGGTCCTAAAGTCAAACAAACACTGCGGCATCACTGAGAGTTAAAAACTGTCTAAATTCTTTCATCTTTAATAAAACGATCAGCGTTGCTGCTTTACCAGGTGTAACTATGAAGTTTAACATCCAGGCATCCATGAAAACAGAATTTAACGGAGTTTAATGGAGATCGTACAGCTCTGCTGTTACTTCCAACATAAATGAAGACAGAAAACTAAACAGCAGTGACGTTTGTAGGGTTACTGAAGTTGGGCTAGCTGCTATATAATGATGTGCTATGTGATCGCTAGCGACACAGCTATGTTAGCATAGCATAAACACAGTGAAGCTGGAGGATGAACGCTAACACTTTTCCACTTGATAAAAGTTAACGTGAAGGTTCCCGATGGTTAGAGACAAATGCAATCGCATGGCAGGATGCTGTAAACGGACCAAACTTCAGTCAGAACAACTGAGATAATCCATCCACAATACGAGGTTAGTCATTAATATACTGCAACAACTGCAACAACAAAGTTCGATTTATCTGACTCCTTTGTTTCGCTTAATGTGCGCTATAATCCCGTGCACCTTATGGTCCGAAAAAAACGTATTTGACTTTTTTTATTTGGCACACTGCAGTTTAATGTTGCAAAGCTCCTCTTTTTAACTTCAGTGGATATTATACATGGTTAACTCAGGATATGTCAGCACATTTCTACTGGAAATGCCTTTTGGTTAAACCTTCAGCAAGAAATTTGCATTTGCACTGTTAAATTTTTATATAGCTTTAATGCACTCAAAAAACAGCTGCTTGTTTAAGTAAAATAAATGGAAGGTGTTTTTTTGCACTAGTAAAGTTGTGGAGTTGTATTTTGTCTCACATCAATTATATCGTTATCGCAAATTTTCAAATATATATCATGATAAATATTTTTGGCCATATCGCCCTGCTCTAACTACTAAATATATTGATGCAATTTTTCTGTTGGGGTGTCCAAATTTATGCACCTGCCTAATTTAGTTTAAGTAACTTTTGCACACTTTCTGTAAATCCTATAAACTTCATTTCACTTCTCAAATATCACTGTTTGTCTGCTATATGATATATTTAAATTAAATTGCTGATCCAAACAACCAATGAAGGAAAAACATGAAAATTATCAAGGGTGCCCAAACTTTTGCATACCACTGTAGATCTGTTTCAAAACACTGCAGCACCTGTAACATCTGTTAGCTGTTTGACTCTTTCAAGGATCTGGCCTGTCATTAGCTAAGAGCGCTGGCTCTTTGGGTCTAGCTACTGCCAGCTTGAAGGCCTGTGGTACATCTCTGAGTCCTCTGAGCTTCATTCATGACTCATTTTAACCAATGGATGTTTGTGTCTGTGTGTGCCTGTATGTCTGTGTCTATATGTCAGGTTGGGTATCAGACGCCACCTCTCTGGGGACATCTCAGGACCTCTAAGGTTTGGAGGCCTATCTCCCCCCACCACTCCCCTTGCCAGTGG